ATCTTCTTCTCATCCCCATCTCCAGTTGAACAATCATGTGGGCATTGTCTCTTCGTCTTTGAGAACTCTGCTGACCATAAGGATTTATCACTTCCCCCTTTAATGACAGATTATTACTTATGTGCTGTTCATTTTGACTCTTAGGCTGTGGCTGCAGAAATAGCTTTCAGAGGACATTTGTGAGTGAAGAAATGTAAAGCCAATGTAGTTATACGTAGCTGTTCTACAAGGATCAAGTACCATTCTGGGAGCAAAGTCAAGTCAGCTGCCTCTAGCATCACTGCTCCTCAGCTTGAATTCTTCAGGCTGCTACTTGGTCTTCACCCTCCTATGTCACTACAAGGTTCTCACATTTTACTTTGGTGAAGGAGCTTTAATGGTGCCCCCAGGGGTGCAAGAAAGGCCTTCCCATATTGGGAAAAACAAAATAATTTCACTTACTGTGAAGGTTCCTTTTCTGCAATAGTGGTGAGGACACCCTACCCGATCTGGTCATACTGCTGCTCAATTTGCTCTGGTTTCAAGGATGGTGTTCCAGACAAAGCAGGGATATAGGTTTTACAATGTGGAGCAATCTACACTGTGGGGAGAGGCTTTGCCCACATATTATGCAGAAAAGATCTGTTGGATTTTCTTTCTCTTATTTAAGAGGGAGGAACTGGCCAAAATGCACTTCTCACTATTGCACGAAAGAAACCCTGGTAGCAAGTACCAAGGTTCCCAATGTTGCTGCCTCCAGCATTCCTCATTTCAGTCTCTGCTATCAAAAAGACATTGCAGTGGTACATCTACAGCAGCAGAACATAGTCCTAAGAAAGGAAAGATTTCCAGGGCCAAAAAGTAAAGTCTGGTGGTTTACTTTCCCTGTACTGGTCCATAGGCTCTCAGATGGCCTTTGGCCTCCTAAGAATAGGATCCTTCATTTGTTTGAATGTATACTTTACCCTGTTCCATTTGAAAACTGAGGATGTAATGGTTTGCTTGAACTCTTTTGTTTATTTAGAAGCAATGTGACAAGTACAGGTTGTATGTCAGTATGAACTGTCAGTATGAGGAAAGCAGTGCTTTTTGGAAGGAATTGGAATCTCATTTTTAAAAGCAAAATGAGCAGCAGTGCTTCTCTTTTAGGCTTCCCTTTTCAAAGAAAAAGTACAGGAAAATAGATTTCATGTAGAAATAGGAGCCTGGTCTGCCAGAGAATCATCTGTCCCTTTAGACTTGGTTTAGCAGGAATTTAATCGCAACCCACAGTATGCTGAACATTGTTTTTATTTATTTGTGTTGCCAAGATATTTCCAGGTTTTCAGCCTAGCTTGGAATTAGAGAAAATGTTGTGTGACTCCCATGTTTGTTATTTCTTAAGGCAGGGTTATCAAATTCATATTTTCTTTTATTCTGAACTCAGGAAAAGTAGCTTTGTTACTATTTGAACAGGGACTACATGCTAACTGCAACAAGGGAAAGATATCCATATCCCTCATCCTTGCCTTACCCTGTTAGTGTGTTTCTCTCTCCTGCTCTCTCCCTAGTCTTTGTCACTTTTAAACATAGTTATGGAATCTTTGGTATAATCCTGGAAGCATTTTTACTACTATTTCCATAATCCCCAGCAAATACAGGCAGTGGCCAGTATTCTGGGAGTTGTAATTTAAAATGATCTAACTCCTGGTTCAAAACAGACTGAGGAGGTAATGATTTCCTCAGGCATATCCAAAGACCAGTTGTGGGCAGATGGAGTACATAAATGGTCATTTAGAAGTTGACAGTATTTCCAGTTCTGACACTTTGCTCCTTTTCACTTGACTCCTACTCCATCCCATCGGTGTCCCTGACATTTTTCCTGACATTACTTAAATGGAGATGCAGCCACTTCTCGTTGAAATGAAAAACAAAAATTAAGTATGGTTTAGTGACAGAAGGGCTTTAACATGCTGTGGGGGTATTCGGAATTCAGAACTGCTACAATGTTAAGAGACAGTTTATTCATCTAAACAGCCAGCGTATGTAGAAGAGGGTCTGAGATTGACATTTTTGGGATTAGTTTAGCCCTGCATTTTTTCCGGAGGTCGTTGTCATGGTGCTCAGGAGGTATGGAGAATAAATGGGACCAACATTCTTCTTGGGACCACACGCTAAAAACTAATATATAACATTTAATTTACTGTCTCCATAGCTAGGCCAGCCATTATTCAGATAATATTGGATTAGCGCTTCTAGCAAGGGTGGATGGGGAGTGGGCAGGCTGGCAGGATCTGATGGAAGCAATAAGAGTTTGTTGTTGCTGTTCAGGGTAGCAGAGTTGATGGCTTAGATATTTTTATTCCTTCCTGGAAGCAAATTGAAAAGTGAAATATTTTTAACTCTTACCATCAGGTTGTTTTGTACCTCTGGAAAAAGAAAGAAATGAGTTGTATTAGAACTAGAGTCCTTCCTGATCTCATAATATTGATCTGGTTTGTCAGGATATGCAGAAAGATTTCATACATTTCTTTGAAATCACATATCGCAATATTTGGCCCTAGTGAAAGGCTGTTTGAAAGGCATTTTGTTAGAAAACTAGAGTATATGCCATACAGCTGCCAGGTGCCTGTTGACATTCTTTATGTACATGTATATGTATATTTATTATTATTTATATATTTACCGTATTTATATATGTCAAATTCCATCCCACTTTTGGCAGCTTACAATAAAATATAATCATAAAATGTATGAAATACTGAAAATATCAGTATTTAAATACTGAAAATATCAGTATTTAAAACAGGAAGAAACCCTTTTTTCCGAATTGTCATTTTTTCCACTATGACATTTCTCCTGAACAATGCTGGAAATTAATGAAATGGCGGCCTGGAAGAGGGACAATTTCTGTGCTGAGAAATCTCTCAAGCTTGGAGATGTAGGGCAATAGAATGATAGATGTAGAACTAGTTCAGTCAAGAGTGTTATAAAAGTGGTCTTGATGAAAGATATTTTAGAGCTTGATTATGAGGCTAGAATGGAAGGCTCTCCCAGGTGTAAAGATCAACATAGTAAAGAACATAAAGATGGGAGGTGTAAGAAACAATTATAAATTCTGTTCATGTTTTATTTAATTTTATATATTGATACACTGATTTTAAATAAAGCAAATTTAATAATTGTGATAATTGTGTGAGGCTAATCTTGTGACGTTATAATCTAAACTGTTAGAGGATAGGCAAACATAGTAACTTTGTGAAGAAACTTTGTGAAGAAAATATAATGGAACATAGTCTACTTTTCCTCCATGCCAAGAATGAACCCATTGACGCTCCAGCCTAACAGTGGATTGAAACTGCCTTCATACTATTTTAACTTCCTCCAAAATTGTAATGGATGGATGGGGAATATATTGCAATGTGAAACTCTTGCAATATATTTCTCTGCAGCTCCCACCTACTCCCCATTTTGCTTTGCCTTGGTGGTATTTATATGACATTATTGGTGGATCGGTCCTTGATTTCCTGTACTTCAGATATGAATCCAAGACATCATTTAACCTAGAGAGTATATCTTGTTAGTCTGTATGGCCAAAGTTGACATTGTTTAAAAAAAATCATTTATTTTGTTATGTTGGGCCACCAAGTAATACTTTGCAACTTTACATTTAGTAAATATATACTTTTTTAGTTTTCATTTTTCTTTGCTTTCTTCTGTGAAATGTTATTATTTCTCCTCAGAGCTTCTTAGTGGTAACATATTCTCGCTAGATATATCTCCTCTAAATATTGCCAAAGCATTCTTGTAATTTCCCATAAAACTTTGTTGTGCATGGAATTTATATCTCCCTGCCATTGCTCTGAAGTCTGCAAGGTACTGATAACCTTCACATATACCAGTAAATTGCTAACCATTTTGTCTTCATAGCCTGCTATAAAAAAAGAGAAACATCTGTGTTATTTGGGATATTTCAGGTATTAACGAGAAATCCGATAATTAGGATGTTTATTAATGTGCTATTACTTGTAATTACTGAAAGAAAGTGTGTGGTTGAACAGCACTTCAACATATATTCCTGCTTGTGTGTTACTTTTTTTTGCAAATGTGAAATGTTACTTGAGCACATCTCATGTTGTTTTCTCCCAATTAAAAATTCACTGCTAATATTCCTACAGATAATGATTTTTGAATAAATGTTAAGAGCAGTTTTAAAACTTTCATATGTGTTAATTGGAGCAAGTTATCATTTATTCCTTGTGTAATTGCAAAGAGTATTCAATATGTTTTTCCAATATCTTAAGACCATGTCCAACTGCCCTTGTTCGCCAGTTGGTAAATTACAGGTATATGCTGTTAACCATATATACCATTTTGATTAATATTATTTCATGCAGCGCTTTTCTACAATTGTATCTCTTTGCTCTACCACATCTTCCACCTCTCACCTTTTTTGTGTCCAGAATATTTGTTCGATTAGCATCCGTTTCTACAAAAACTGGTAGATACTTATGTCTGATCATTATTGGTGATATTCAGTAGAGATGTGTTTCTGCATTAGGTTTGCAGCAAAATTTTATCTGTTTGTTGGATGATAATCCATTAGGAGACGTGGGGTATGAAATAGTCACCATCATCATCATCTGTCTTTTTTTCCACTATGACATGCCTGAGAAATTTCTACAGGACTGAGAATGGACGTGGAACATACATGTAATTTTGCACATAAGAGATGTGTGCAAATTGCCACAGATGAATAAAACCTCCTTAAATCCCATGTTGGGACAAAGCTCTTGGTGCTGAGTGAACTACTGCTTATCTAAATATCTTCTTATATCACTCTGAAATGGTTTCTCAATAGGTAGGCTTGTACGTAATCACTGAGCTTAGAAATTGTTCCCTTCCACAATTGATAGTTGGTGATAAATATTTTCATGATTAGTGTATGTTGTGATTACATGTCACACCTTCTGTCATATTCCTTATTGAAAACAAGGCATGCTTTGCATTGTTAAATGTTCTCCCATTTCTTTCTCTTACAGTCAATTTTGTTGTCAGCCTCAATCAAGCGGGAAGGAGACTCTCCAACATCGCCTCACTCCTCCGATGATATCCATCACTCAGACAGATACCAGGTGAGAGGGCTATCAAGAGAAAAAAGCTGGAAACTAGAGTCCAGGGACTATTAAATGGCACTTCAATGTCTTTAAAAAATACCACACAAATCCATAACTTTTCAGCCTTGTCTGCAAATTCAAGAGTCATACGGTCCCATTTGTTAATATTAGATTTGCATACCTTAACTTAAAAAATCCAGTGAGCTAATAATAATGCTTCAATAGGACAGCATGATATATAAATGCACAGTTCCCAGGATTACTTGGTGCATAATTTAGAATTACTTAGAATGGGAATGTTTTTGTATGGCCTTTGTTATTTGTGAAAAAATGTTATCAGATGGACTATTATTGACCACTAGTAATTATATTATTTTATGACAGAATAGAGCAACCAAAAAAGTCAATATGCTGTGTTTCGTTCTGTAAATAGCATATCCTATAACTTTTCAAGGAAAGTAAAATGTGTAGATGTTAAAAGTTCAAACAAACTGTTGTTAGTTGCCCATAACTGCTAATTAAAATGTGACAGCAATAATAGTTTATTTTCTGCTTAGAATTCAAAGCCAACATTGCCTGAATCCTTTCTTATTTGGAACATGCAGCACACACCCCATTTTAAGTGCTTGAAACAGAGCAGAGCAATGGCAGCCATTTTTAATAGAGGCTTACTGTGTAGGTTCTGTGCTCCTTGCCATCTGGGCACAGTAAACCCCTTTAAAAATGCACTTCGCTCCACTTCAACTGCCCAAGATGGCAGAGCAGTTCCAGTATTAACCCACATATTAAGTTGACCTAGGTTTTGGGATCATTTTTTTGACAATATATTTTTATATTATACACAAATATATACAGTGATCATTTCACCTTTCTTACCATTATTCAGGAGGTTTGATACTAAATAAAACAGTGAGGTAAGAGTTTATCGGTACAATATTTTTCAGGACAAGAGACTCTCCATGGGGGAGAATAATTGGCGAACTTTTACTCCATGCTTAAGTAAGATTTAGAGAAAGCCAACAAAGCTGGGGGGAAACTATAGGAAGTATATGAGGCAATAGAAGTTGAGACAAAAGTAGTTTTCTGAGATTTCAATACTAAATATAGATTATATGAATTAATATCATCTTCTAATCTCAACAACTTCTGAGTGCAGGTATTTAGGATTTGGCAGTGAGAAAAATCAGGAAGAGATAAAGAATGTCCCTGTTTCTTTTTTCTACAACAGACGTAGCCTGTTAACCAAGCAGACAGTACCATTTCAAATCCTCCCTGCTACTACCTCACCAGAAGCCCCATAGATGACAAAGGAACTAAGCACACTACTTTCTTTTGTATTCCAGCTATAACTTCTCAAACTGTTGCCTATTTGCAGAATATGGGTGTCAGTTGGTATTTCCCCATTAGATTATTTACCTGTATATTACGGTGGGATGTGATGTAATCGCCATACTCAAAGGTCAGTCCCTTAGTCCTGCTGCATGGTGCCTCTGACCATAAAAACAAAGGCTTGAATTGATGTAGTCTTGGGAAAATCACATCTTTTTAACTTCAGAGGAGGAAAAGGAACTCCCTCTGAAAAAATCTTGCCAAGAAAACCCTATATTAGGTTCACCTTAGGGTCATCATAAATCAGAAATTACTTGAAGACACACAGCAACAAAATCTTGTTTGCATAAGAAATCCTTTCAAAATATGTGTTCAGAGACTTGGAAGTACTGGTATTTATCTTCTTGATTTTTTTAACCTTTAAGTTCTTTTTCTCTTGATGTTTGAGAAATGGGTAAATTGGACAAAACTGTATATTGTTATTAAAAAGCAACAAGAAGGTTATGACTTGATTTTATGAATTTATTTTCTCCTGGTTATCATTTATAACCAAGAATCAGTTGTGACTTCTTGCCTGTTTATTGCAAACTATTAATTTTTCCACTTTCTTTGTAGAGGGAAAAAATATTTTAAGGAACATAGTGTTGCCTTACATGTATTTGATTTAAACTAGAGTTTTAGAAAAGCTGATACAAATACAATTGGAGATCTATGGATAGAAGAAAAGTAGCAGGCTCTGCAGCAATTGAAATCTTCCTGTCTGTTTTTGTAGCTCAGAGACAGAATACTAATATTGTTTCCAAAGACAGCAAGTGAAACTGACATATTTTGTAAGTGATCAGGTTGAATGAAATTGTAAAGGTGGTGTGTTTGGGTAGAAAGGATGAAGGAAAACAGAAATGCATGTAGGTAAATGAGATGTTTGAAGTTGCTTTGGCTGTATTCATCTGACATCTTTTGTGTAACACAAGCAAGACATCATGCCTTTTTGAAAATGTAATTTCTACTCCGTGTCCTTTCTTTCCAGCCATGTGAATTTGAATAGGATTAATGGCATGACTGTTTCTTGACAAAAAGAAAGAACTGTTCCGGTTAAAGAGTTGTTAGCATCTATTTCTGTAACACAGAAAATCAATTTAGGTTAGATCCTAGAAAATATGGAGCACACCTTTTTCTCACTGTAATAAAATAGAAATGAGGATGCTAAGCACTAAACGGAGTTAGATCCTAATATTCCAGACTCAGGTTTTGGACACTAAGTAGAATGGATCTCCTTGGTAAGAGTGCAATTTGCCTGCAGAAAAACCCATTAAAAATCTGTACCCTCTCTCTAGGCCGGCTCTAAGCAGTTGAAAGGGGTTGGGGGGATGTGGAGGGAGCCAATCTCATTCAGTTCAGTTTCATCCTGCCTCTAGCAGAATCAGTAAATGTAAGCTTCTAAAATGTGCTAGTGCACATCTGCTTCAACTTCTAAAGATATCACTGGGCTCACTAATTTGAGCATTAATATATGCTTGAGACATTGTTTATTACAGATACGCATTTTAGTGTTGCACAAAGGTACTAAATACATGCACTTTATATACCCTGGCCTTCAGTCTTAGATTCACAACACATACATACATGGAAGATGTGCTTAAACTGTAGACAGTGAAGTAATTCTCTGTGGTATTTCCTAAACTCTAGGATACGTTACAGCATTTTGCACCCAGAAAGATAAAGACTAGTAAATTGTGATGTGCTGTGTTCTTACTGGAATCACTGAGGGATAGTCCATAGGCAACTCAACTGAATCAAATAATGTGGATAAAGCTTCTAAACAAGAGGTTCACTGTACTAGAACAAAGCTGCCAGCCAAGACTTCGCTTAAAGCAACAAAAAAATCTGTTAGTTTCCAAGCAAATGCCTTAGCATCTGTGAAATGTAAACTGGATTTTGTGATGGGTACAGTTCATCTGCTATGCATCTTGGAAGTTCAGACTTGACATATAGAAGTACTAATTAGGAAAACAAATGGAGAGCTAAAATGTGTTCCAATGTACTCCTTTCCCCCTGTTTCAAAGTTTTAATGCCTAGGTTTATGCATTCATGCCACACAGTTACAATTAACCTACAATTGTGTAAATGTAAGTGGGGATAGAAATTAAGATGAGTTTGCAGGTTTGCATGAGACAGACAACATCACAAGGACAATTTCCTTCAATAATTTTCTGTGAAGACTGTATGACAGGAACTCCCATTTTAAAGATAACTGTAGAAAATGTAGAAATACCAGAGTAAGTGCACATAAATATCAAAAAGATACAAAGATGAAAACCTGTCCTGAATCTTATGTCTTAAGGTATATGTTTTTCTCCTTTTCTTTTACAAGCACTGCACTTTAGAAACTAGATTTCTCGAAAGAAAACACAGGAAAGCCCAGTATACCTAAATAATTCAAAGTTTTAGGAAAAAAACATTCGAAGCAGCTTACAGTTTAAAAGATTCGGGGGGCTTTAGCAATTTAGGCCTCAGACCTGCACCACTGTCACACATGTTTGGCTTTAAACACTTGGATAGTCTTGATGGCTTCAGCAGGATTGCTAATGGGATCAAAGTGAATAAACTTCCTTTAAGTGTTTGCAGGATATGGAGCCTTGAAGGCAGGATGAAGGCCATTCTATAGATTTATCCTCCTTGCAATCACTGACTGTGACTTGGAAGTCATACAGCAATGAAATAATGACTGTTTTTGTCCACAAACATTTTGTATTTGGTAAGATTTTTATCATTCTATAGTCCCTATAGAGACCTCCAGTTCACCAGAGCTGAATATTCTTAACCTTGACTGGGTTGTTTACGCTTAAGAGTTTAAAAGTCATGAACATTTGTTGCCCACCTTTTGTTATCCCTGTTTTATAAATATATCAGTGCTCCAGGAAAAACCCAAGTAATTACTTGGTTTAATAGAAAGATAGACTACTCACGTTCAAAGTATTTTATTGGATGCTATCCTTAGGAGTGCAAGATACTGATAGCTCCCTAAACGTGGGGCATGCCTTTCTGAAAGGAGATAAAAGTGATTTGCGATCAAAAAGGCTAGCTTTATAGTTGCAACCTGTACATAAGGGATGCTAGTCTCTTGTGCATTGCTCAACTGCCGACTCTAATTGCCTTTATCAACGTTATTGAAGAGAATTCATAAGATACAAAGTAATAAAACTGCTTGTATTGACAAATTTCAGGAATTGTCCCAAGGTCAGCTGATCTCCTTTTTTCAAAAGCTGGGCTGAGAATAAATGCACCAGGTTCAGAGTTCAGCACTTGTAGCCTTTTGTGCCTTTCATGGTTGGTTATGTGAAGTTTCAGATGTATCTCTAGCTATTAATATTTGGCAAATAATTGTCCCTGTTTTGTTTCTTGTGGAAATCTTTTCAAAACTATTATTATGGGTGGCTAGATTTTAAGGCTTTCCTTTTTTTTTCCCTCTAAAAATCTCAGAGTTAATTAATGTTATGGCATCATCCTTGCCTTAGTAAGGTGGATATTTTCCCCTGACATTAAGTCTAGTTGTGTCTGGCACTGGGTTGGTGGTGCTCATCTCTATTTCTAAGCTGAGGAGCTGGCGTTGTCCGTAGACACTTCCAAGGTCATGCAGCCAGCGTGACTGCATGGAGTGCCATTACTTTCCCACAGAAGCAGTACCTATT